AATATAATCAATTGCAATGCATGCTTGACCAGCACAAGTCCCAAATTTTCCCACAATAATTCGTTTTACAGCCACCTTGGCAGTTTAACAACAAAAAGCAACAGTAACTTCCAGTAAGTGTATTGTTCATTAAGAGAAACAGTTGTTAGCGTACTTGAATAAATTGAACTTGTGAGATACTTCTCTGTCCCAAGAAGAGGATAGGGAATCAACGACGGCAGGGCATTTTCCCCCAGCTCCAAAGTCACTGGTGTCAGATGTTTCGCTGCCGCTGACATCACAATTCGTCCCACACGTGGACTTCCTGCATATAGTGCCAGATTAAGAAGAAAGAGAAAGACAGGAGTCGTGATGATGATGATGATGAGCGTGTCAATTATGGGTACCAGTGAAGAAGATCTTGTCCCATTTTGGAAAAGTAATTGCTCGGCCACTTCTGGGCCTCCTTGGATGACCTTAATGGCTCTGTTGTCCAAGTAACTTGGGAGGGCAGAGGCTAGCAGAGAGGCACTTGCAGAGGATAGCTCTAAAGGCTTTAGGACTACTGTGTTCCCAGCAGCTACTGCTCCTATCAGTGGCTCTAACGACAATCCTAATGATTATTATTAGTGAAATAAAGACATTAGGCATATATCTTCCAGAATAGATGCCTTAAACATGATTTTTGGTTGTAATTAAGTGGGTGGCTCATTCTCACCAAAGGGGAAGTTCCAAGATGATATAATGAGCACCAGACCCAAAGGCTCCGCAACAATTTCTGCACTTGTAAGGAGTGCTATTCATGGTAAATCAGCCTATCAACATCACAGTTGAGTTGAACAGATTTCTCATGTGTACTGATATATTACTTTGCAAGATTTTCACGCTTAAGAGGTAATAACATACTGCTCGATTGTTACCTTTTTGGGTGACATCCATTCTTTCAGATGCTTCAAAGCGAGATTCAGGGACTTGAAGCAGTGTTTGAAACAGAATGAGAGGGAACTGATCTCGTCTCAAAAGACTCGATATGATGTTTTCCAAGATCCAGCATGAGAGCTTGGAAGATGTCATGTTGTTTGTGGGTGAGGAAAGCACGTAAGCCTTCAAGCTGTGACGCTCTCCAAGAAGCTCCTTTGGTCTCGCCAGTGCCATAATACTCCCTCAGGCTTTCCAGTTCTCTCTCCATTTTCTTGCTGCTCTTCCTTTCCCCTGCCTCTATTTATCTCTGTTTCAGCCCCACATCGCTGTGATCAAGAGCAATTACAGTGGATGAGAGGCCCACTTCATTTTCCCTTTCAACTTGATCTGTTTTAACTTTCATCCACGAAAGTGACTGGCCACTCTCGCCTGAACCTAAATAAAGTACAGTATGTATGAGTCTCATTCATTCTCATAAATCTCTCGTCTTCGTCATATTGTTTTCTATCATCTTCCACACCTTCTACCAGCATCACTTATTTAAGAGGTTCACAGCCACCTCACTGCATGTATTATAGCAAATATTAATTACCCTCCCTCAAAAGTTGTCCTGTTCACATTGTCTTCTCTTTTTAATCTCAGCACGTGTAGATATACTCGACAGGAGTACAGAGTACTCAGAATTCAAATTACTTGCGATATAAAAAATGCATTCCTTTTTTCCCTAATCATTCCACTCCGTCTTAGTCGCTCCCCATCTAGTTTTTTATAATAAACTTATTTATTTTTATTCTTTTAATGAAATATATTTATTTTTAAACAATTCATGCAAGTATATATAATGTGATATTATATGTGAAACTATCCTAATCCACTTGATTCATTTATTATAACACAATTGACAACTCTTGAATTGGCTTCTTTTAAACTGATGTGCTGGGCTGAATGAAAGTAAGTAGCCGCCCTATATTTTATATATTTATTTATTGCACCTAATAATACATGACTTAGCTCAACATAGAAAATATTTTTTAAGAAATTGTGTTGTAAATATTATGTGTGGGTGTGTCAAAGGAAGAGTCCCATATTGTTTGGGATTGTGAGGGTCCAAGTAATAAGTGGTCTTGGGCTACCAAATAGGCCAAGAAGAGGAGTGGACTTACGCGCACAATGAGCCACCGGAGACAAATCTGGCAATTTCCCCTCATCCCTTTGTGCACGAGTCAAATGCAGTACTGGGCACTTTATTGGAAATATCTATCTAAATTTTAATTATAATTATGCCTCTTCAATGTTCGTAACCGAAGACTTTATTCTCCTTAAATAGTCATTAAACAAGTTAATTACTACTTGAAACCGCTCTTTTAATTATGAGTTAATTATCATTAAGCGCGTTTAAATGTGCCCAATGGTATTGTGATCCGTAGCCTATAAAAGGGGCATGAGACAGAAGTTCAAAGGGGGATCGCCGTGCTCTGAGCTTTCTGGCAACTCTCTTCCCTCCTCTGGTGTTCTGCCTTCCTGAGTTCTTTTACCTTTTGCTGTTCTGCTCACCCTGTTCTTACAGGAAGAATCCGTTTAATCCTGGGGAGTGCCGCTTCTTGCTTTGCCGGTAGTTGCGGAATAACTCTTAAGGACAGTGTCTGTAAGACACGACTCGGATTTACCGTTCTCTGCAGGTGTTGCTGTCAACAGGGTTTGCCTAGCATTATAGAGGAGGTGGAAGATCTGCTAGATCTTGGAGAATTTTGGTGCTGCCGCCAACAAATTGTCTCCTATTTGTGGGTCGATTTAACTTGAATTCAGATAAATTAGAGTTCAGTGCAACTTTTAGATGGTCTAGAAAATCAAACATTTCATCAAATGAATGTATTGGAGCATAATTTAATGGTCATGTTTTATTAAAAAAAATCTATCAGTTTTTAAATCTAATATGTATTGCATAAAAATAAGACTGTACTTTTCATATTATCTCTTGAAATATGTGATACATAAATTCTTTTAAATCAAATAAAACTGTACTTTTCAGATTGTGGATCATACTTTCTTAGTGCAACATAAGACTATATTTTTATCTTACATATGGCTTTTGCATAATAACGCACAACACACTTTTCTAAATGCATATATTATTTGGGTATCTATTACTATAAATCACTTTTTAAAAGAATGGGTGATTATTATCATAAGTTACTAAGTGAGACATTAATTGTAAATTTTTAAGATTGTCTCTATCTTAAGGGTAATATAATTTCCCTTTTTAATTCTCAAAAATATAATTCATAGTTTTAAAATAAATAATTTAAAAAATTAGTTGTTTTCAAATAACTTTAATGGGTTAATCACCTTCCCTAGTACTGAATTTCTGATAAATTGTTGTAGTATAGTAGGAAATATAGTGGTACATATCAATTATATAAAAAAAAAACCAATTTTCGTTTTAAACATATCAATAATTATTTTTTTGTAAAAAATAATTACTATAGTGTATCAGGATTGGTCACCGCCACCAACAATGGTACTTTTTTTTTTTGTATAAACCATCCGGTATCCAACCGCGCCTTTTCTGGGCCCCAGCCTCTTTGAACCAGTTGTACCCGAGCGATCGACTAGTCCAGATTCGGGCCGGGCGACAAGTAAAGCCCTCCCCGGTACCCTTTTTAACAAGTGAGGATTCGAACCCCTGCCCTCAAAGAGCAGAGACTCGCCTCACTTGTGGCCTAGCCAGTCACCACTAGGCCAGGAGTATTCGGGTACCAACAATGGTACTTTGGGCTCAACTAAAAAATTACTATTTTCAAGACATCGCTGCTTAATTGAAGAAAATATACGTGTTTCACGAAATGTTATTGGTGCTTAAAGCACTTAAGCATTCCAAACCTGAATTTTTATTCCTGTAATTGTTTTTTCAGTTCGTTATCATAATTTTAATTTGATTTTAATGAATTATCACCGGCAATCTGATTGCTGGCCCCGCTGATAATGGGCAGAAGTGACATAACATACATGTGTAAATAAATGCTTCTATCTTCAGTCCAAAAAAAAAAATTCTTCTATCCGTGCAGATGGGGCATTTGTCGTGGTTAGGAGTAAAACATAAAGTGCATTAATTTTTTTCTTAAATGTGGGGGCTCTTATTAATTGCAGAACCAATATGTATTATTCATTGTAACCAAAAAAAAAATATTATTCACGGAGTACTTATTAGCTTCTTGATTGAAAATTTGAGCTTAGTTTTCTTAAAATTACATTTTAAGCAGCAAAATTAAATTTCATAATGATTTATTGACCTCCTTTGGAAGGTAGAATCACTTAAACTCTTTTTTTTTTAACCTGAGAATCACATAAACACTTGAAGTACATCATATTACGAAAAAATATACTGAAAATGCATTAATAATTTTTATGTCACATATAAAAGCTAGAAGTTCTCAATATAGGATTTTAGAACAATATTCTGGTCCTTCAATATAAGTTTCCCTGCACAACACCATGGAAATAGGCAACATTAATAGCACATTTATTAATATATGAGTTAATGTTGAATATTTCAGTTGATAACATAATGTACTGTTAAATGTTACTCCCTCCGTTCCTTATTATAAGAGACATTTGATGCTTATAGCATGTTCCTATATATAAGAGACACTTACAAGTTGTCTCTACTTTTTTGTGTTGATTTACTATTTTACCCATATTTATTATTTCCAACTCACACTCTCTCTCCCTTCCACTTATCTTTCTTTTAATAATTTAATTGTTCTCTCTCATGTTCTCTCTCCTTATTATGAGGGCATTTTTGGAAAAAAATTATACTTTTTACACATTAATTGTTCTTAACTAATTTTAACTGTTTTTTTGATCAACGTACTTCGGTTATTTGTCTCTTATAATAAGGAACGGAGGGAGTAATGTAGAATATCTCAATCGATAGGCAAGTATTAAATTATAACTACAACTTTAACTTTAATTGGGCCAGGCTAGAAGACATATGAAGGAGCCCATTCGTTGTGGGACAACTGGGCTACTGGGCTTAAGAATCATATAGCCCATGAAACGCTCCATGCATGAACACTTGTTATTCCCTTCCCTCCCTACGAAGTCGGTTTGGAGAGGGGTGCCGCCTCCCAACCCTGCCTCTGCCTCCTCTCGAAGTGAATTTGCTTTTCGGCATAGCAGATAGCTTTGTTGTTTATAACCTCCAAATTCTAGTGGCCAGCACAAGCGTCTTGCAAGGATCTCATATTGCACAGTCTTTGTGCAAATTACCAGGTGAGCTACACTTTTCATATCTCAAAAATCTTTGCGATGCTTTCTTTTTATAAAGAAATTTGCGATTTTCATATATTGCGTCTTTTGATGTATATGATTTATCGGTCTGAAAGCACGATAGCTTATTGAAATTTTAGTGTATATTTTTCATAGACATGTTTCTGTGCAACCGCAATGATTCATAGCCTGGATGTGTAGTCATCGTCCACTCCTGAAATGGATTGGAATTTTAAAGGTTTCTAAATATTGATTTTTTTTGAAGCATTTGTTTCTCCTTGCTTTCATGTCCATTAGCATTTGGATTTTTTCTTAATGACCTCTTTTCTTTTTGTTATTTTTCACCATCTTTTTGTGGTAGTTTTGGTCCGAGACAAGTAGAGAAGGGAAGGGAAGAGTCGATTTCGAAACCTGCGCCTTTTAATTAAATCAACTGCTTGCTTTCTCTTTGCTCTGTCCTGAATTTGGAGCCTCCCGTAATTATCTGATTCTCTAACTCTTCTCTTAAAAGAGTAGAATATCAGCTCTGAAACGGTTTTGATGGGTTTTCTTCCTTCTCATGTTGACGTGTTATAATATACTGTATCATCGGTGAGAAAATTCTTGTTACTTAACGAGCTATAGATGCTACTTCCTATTCACTTTTCCCGGTAGCACTGTACTGATGAAAGCTGATTTATAAATTGAGAAATACTGCATGGTGGGATCCAAATAGGAAAATATTATTCGCACTCCATTTCTCAGTTTCTTGCTTCACTCTGGTTGCACCCTGTGTGTACCCAAGAATCTTAGATTTAATTTGTGCAGATCTTTTCTTCTCTCTACGTGGGCACGGCTTCCGTTGTTATAGGATGATGGGTGTGATATCTGTCCTATATTTTTTCCTAATGCTTTTCCCATGAAAAGAAATTGATTGGTGTTTCTGATACAGGCTGATACGTAAAGATGGTGCAATATAACTTCAAGAAAATAACTGTGGTACCTAATGGGAAGGACTTCATTGACATAATCCTTTCTCGCACTCAGCGTCAAACACCTACTGTTGTGCATAAAGGATATAAGATTTCCCGCCTCCGTCAATTTTACATGCGCAAAGTAAAGTATACACAACAAAATTTTCATGAAAAACTCTCCACTATTATTGATGAGTTCCCTCGGCTTGATGATATTCACCCATTCTATGGTGACCTCCTCCATGTACTCTACAACAAGGACCATTACAAGCTTGCACTTGGACAAGTCAATACTGCTAGAAATCTCATTGGGAAGATTTGTAAGGACTATGTGAAGTTATTGAAGTATGGTGATTCACTATATAGATGCAAATGTCTGAAGGTTGCTGCTCTTGGCCGTATGTGCACTGTGATCAAGAGGATCGGCCCAAGTTTGGCTTATCTAGAGCAAGTGAGGCAGCACATGGCAAGGCTCCCATCAATAGATCCAAACACGAGGACTATCTTGATTTGTGGTTACCCTAATGTTGGCAAGAGCTCATTCATTAACAAAATTACAAGAGCTGATGTGGATGTGCAGCCCTATGCTTTCACTACTAAGTCACTTTTTGTTGGTCACACAGACTATAAATACCTAAGGTACCAAGTAATTGATACACCAGGGATTCTGGACCGGCCTTTTGAAGATCGAAACATTATTGAGATGTGCAGCATTACTGCCCTTGCTCATCTGCGAGCTGCTATATTGTTTTTCTTGGACATCTCTGGGTCTTGTGGTTATAGTATTGCACAGCAGGCAGCTCTATTTCACAGCATTAAATCCCTGTTCATGAACAAGCCACTAATAGTAGTCTGCAATAAAACTGATTTGCAACCCCTTGAAGGGGTAACTGAGGAAGACAAGAAGTTAATCATGGAGATGAAAGCTGAGGCCTTGAAGACTCTGGTTGGTCAAGGAGGCGAGTCTACAAATGATGAAAGTGTGTTGTTGACCATGAGCACTTTGACAGACGACGGGGTAATTGCTGTAAAAAATGCAGCATGTGAAAGATTGTTAAATCAAAGGGTGGAGATAAAGATGAAGTCCAAAAAGATAAATGACTGCTTGAATAGATTTCATGTTGCAGTGCCAAAACCACGTGACGACAAGGAAAGGCCACCTTGTATTCCTCCAGCAGTCTTAGAAGCTAAGGCCAGGCAAGCAGCTGAAAAGGAAAAGAGAAAAACTGAAAAGGACCTGGAAAATGAGAATGGTGGTGCAGGTGTATACTCAGCAAACTTGCGGAAGAACTATATTTTGGCTGATGATGAATGGAAAGAAGACGTGCTGCCAGAAATTTTGGATGGACACAATGTGTATGATTTCGTTGATCCTGATATCCTGCATAGGCTTGAAGAATTGGAAAGGGAAGACGGGCTAAGACAGGCGGACAAGCTAGATGATGATTTTGAGATGGATGGGAATGAGTTGACTCCAGAGGAACAGGAAGCTTTAGCTGCAATAAGAAAAAAGAAAAGCTTGCTCATCCAAGAGCATAGGAAGAAAAAGAGTACTGCAGAGAGCAGGCCAATTGTTCCGAGAAAACATGACAAGGACAGGAAGTTTACTACAGAAAGAATGGGAAGGCAGCTGTCATCTCTAGGGCTTGATCCCTCTTTGGCAATTGACAGAGCACGCAGCAGATCTGTTTCTAGGAGAGGTAGGAAAAGGGAAAGATCTCCTGAAGGGAGAGGTGCTGATGTGATGGATATAGATGTTGACTCATCCAGCAAGAAGCAGCGTACTAGATCTAGATCAAGGTCCAGGTCCAGGTCAGTTTCACGCCCGCCAACTGAATTTGTGCCTGGTGAGGGCTTGAAGGATTCTGCTCAAAAGATTAAGGCAGTAAAACTTGCGAAGAAATCTGTCAAGAAGAGGAACAAGGATGCTCGTCGGGGAGAAGCTGATAGAGTTATTCCTACTTTGAAGCCCAAGCACTTGTTTTCTGGGAAGCGTTCAATTGGGAAAACCCAAAGACGGTGAAAAGAGATGGTAAGTAATGTGATTTGTTATGTTTTTATCTGTCATTATTGCTTGCTTGCTTCATTTTAATCTCTCAAGTACCCTCCCGAAAGTAATTCCGGGGCGTTGATAAACTGACTTTCCTGAGCATATGTTTGGTTACATTCTCATGTAGCCCTTGACAACCAATTTTTCCAAGTATCAGACATTGTCTTGAAAGGAAATTTACCACTTGTTGATTTTCCTCTGCATTGCTTTAAAGGCAGTTGTATCAGTATTTTTTCCCCCTTTAGTCAGATTTTATAGCATTCACGAGTTTTCTGTGTGTAATGTTCGTTTTCATTTTTCTGCAGCGAAAGCTGAATTAGCCTTGGAGACGGTATCCCGATTCTGGGAATGGCTTGTGACTGGTGGTGCACAGTTTGTTTTGAGTTGCTGTAGGTCGAGTTATTCATAGCAATAGCATCAAGTTCTGTGATGTAAGCTTCTTGGGGGATATCTTTTAATCCCGTGCAATTTTACTCCGCTTTGTTTGCTTGATACAATTTGAGACCATGTAATGGCTGTGGCCCAGCTGCTGCTAAAATTTTGTGGTGACAAGATTATTAAATTAATTACAACCTCTCCTACATGTACTATCCGTTTTTACCTAGCATGCACCGTATTTATATAGCTTAGATTTTAAGTTCCTTAACTTCGTTCTCATTCAATGCATGAGCAATGGATCCGATTAATGAAGCAAATGAAAGTAATCTCAATGCTTATACTTTAGATATAAAAAGAGGATATTAATTATTCTTGAAATTCGCAAAAAGAATTCTATATTTAAAATGGAGATAGAATGTTTTAATGCCGCAAATGATAAGAATATTTGTTGAATTTTTTTTCTTACTTTCTAATTTGGTGCATATGAATTTTTCTTCTTAATTAAATTATTTAATTTTATTTTTTTAACAATTTAATTTTAATTTTAAAATAACAAATAGTTAATGTTGACTATTCTTATAAAAATTCATTAAAATAATCTATTTTTCATTTTAAAATTCAATAGTTTTTTTTTTTTCCTTTGGGGAATGGATCTGTGCATGCCAGCACGGGAAGGTGTTGGTTAACTGTACGTTTATGTTCACGGAGAACTGACATATTACCCATCAAATTTATATCCCTAACGGGCCAATGACTGGGCCAACTTGGCGTGAGTCCTAATTTTTCTCATAGTAGGTGAGGCCGTCGCACGTACGCTCTGAGCTTTACGGGGTGTTTGGCAGGAAGCCTGGAAGTAGGGGGGAAGACTTCCATTTTCATTGTGCCACAAAATATGCTTCAAATTGTATATCAGTGTTTTTTAATTATTGTTATTATTTTTTATGGGTATACAAAGGTATTTCCAAACGAAAAAAAAAATCATTAATTTATCTCCTTCTCACCTCGTTTCCTTTTACATTCAATGCCTCAGCTCAAAAAACAAAAAAAGCATAGCAACGCTGCTCTGACAACATCACCTTGGCCCCAAATTTTTATTGACCATGGGAGAGCAGAATTTAATGATGCGTTTGAAGTTTCTAGCAGAGACACGCTCTTAAATGACAAAAATCAAAGCTAACAGAGAATCCAAATTCACCGAATTCTCAGTAAGGAGTGTGATCAATTCACTTTCCTCAAACAGGATGTGAGAAAAGAATTCAAATGAAAGTATTTTTCAAGTTCCACCTGATTAGGCTAAGGCTGTAAGCGTGATTTTGCACTGCCAGGTTACTTTTTATGTATATCGCTTCATTTTCCTTCGCAGCTACTATTTGAGGCTTCCCTGTTGCTTTCGTACGACAAGGAGAGCCTGCCTTTACTCAAATAAATCAATGACGCCAAAACACAGATTCCTTATTCACTGCCAACGTCAACTGATTGGTTCTTCTTCTTTTTCCCTCCTTTCTTTTGCCATTTTTGTAGAAGTTTCCATCTGAATGATGCATATAATGAAAATGTTTCTCATATGCCTTCCGCCATTAAAATGAAAAAGATAGGCCGTTACTCGGGTGGTTGCGCTTTCTTTTACTAGGTTTGGAATGAAAAAGTTCTGGTCGGTGGGACCCATCTCATCTAACTAAAGTCATGCTTGCTTATTTCTGAGGTAATCAACTCCCCCAGCGCTAAGCTTTTGGCAAGGAAACAAAACAGATAAAGCATGGGAAATGCCTCGAGCTTTGGAGCTCCTCACTACTTTAAATTCTGATGATTAGTTTTCTTTCGTAGTTTCATTTGGAAACATATTCAAATACTTTATAAGGAAAATATGGTTGTGACTCCCTAGAATTGTGATCAGCTTAAGATCCCCGTAGTTTTTCCATTAACTTGATGATCAACTTTGATCAAAATTCCGATATCAAATATCATTATCATATCCACGGTATATCATTGCCTTACTTACAGTATGTCATCTCTAAAGATTTTGATTAGCGTTGACTATAATTTTAAAGACCAATTTCTTAAATAAAAGAAAAATATAAGAACCGCAACAAAAGTTGAGCAGAATTCTAAAAACCAAAGCCTATGTTTTTTTTCTCTCCCATAATTCATAATCATATCACATATCAGAAACATTATTGTTGCATCAGTAGCATGTTTTCTCCAAAAACTTTAGCCAAAGTTAACTATAATGTAACCGCTATATTTTTAATAAAAAGTATACAAGAACGTTGACCCAAGTTAACGAAAAATCTAAAGATCATAAGCTATGTTTTCCCTAATTTATAGTGATATTACCCAAGAAAATGGTATCATATGTAATCTTATAAGTAAAAGTACACTTTTTTTTTTTTTGATAAACGGACGTCTATGTTTTAATTAGATAATTAATAAACTATGCACCCTTGGCTATATATATTTTGAGTGCTCCGCAAATATATTTGATTTGTTTTTTTAATGAGGATGCATTTCGAAGCAAACTTCAAAAGGGGTTCAATCGTGTGAGTGAATTTGTGGGAGCTCATTGGGATGCATTTTATTTATTTTTGTGGACATGAAGCTTTTCACTTTATATATATTCAGAACCTATAATACCTCCTAAGACTGTGATTAATGATTATATAATTTGAAGTCAAGGCAATATGATGCATCGCTAACGACATGAATTGGAACTCTGAGGTGGCCAAACAGCAGTATTTCCTTCTTCCTTTAACTTAAGCCTCTGTTACCTTTTCCTGTTCTACCTACACCTAAACAAATGGTCAATTGCCAAGTCGATATCCACAAGCAAATCCTTCACTGCCACATTCATAGTTCCATGACTGCATGATTTGATGCCTGAATGAATCATCCACCTTCTCCCCTTTACCCACTTGGTCCTTCTGGGGGCACTCCTCTTCGATCATTTACATTATTCTCTCTCCTTTTCTTTTCTTTTTTACTTTTCCCTGTACTGCGTTGCAACTTTTTGACGATCCGTTTAACCTTTTGGAGCCTGTGGATTTGATAAGCTTTAATAAAACCACAAATATGTATAAATATCCCCACAATAACTAAGAAAAGGACCATATGTTTCGCGCGTGTAGTAATAAACATTGTTATTATTATTTTTGGTTTCAGGGCAGCCATCATTGTACTCCAAACTAGTGCTTTTACCAATTCTGCAGCAGTGGAGCGCCATCTTATAGTTATTCCAATGATCCATTGTGCTTTTGGAAAGTTTTATGACTCTTTCGTTCACCACTTTAACTACCACTGAGCCACTGTAGCAGACTGCCCCCAGTCCTGGCTGAAGCTGATTTAAAACTAGCTGACCTCTAGAACCAAGGCCGTGCTTATGTATCAAAGTTACGTCGGCAATATGAATTAGCCTCCGAAATTATTATTTTAAAGAAACAAAGAGGAAGAGAGAAAGAGAGACTTTGCAGATTGTATTGTTCTGCTGCTTAAGTGGGAGAACTGAACATTTTACAAACTTATGCCAACTGTCCTAATTGGCTCTGTAAAGATGTGTGAGAAGTCAATGATCATGACAAAACAGAGAAGGCTAAAGCCAAATCACTTCCTTCAATCACAATTTATTCAACTCTTTTATAATCCATTTCAACTTCACACGTATCTGATCTTATATGGTTAAAAGTAACAACCCATTTAACTGTTTCATGAAACCGATAATACAAATGATAAAAATAACAGTTTATGTAATTGTACCAGTCAATCTCAGATCAACCAATGGTCTTGATTGCTTTCAAATCAGGTTGCCATGAACTCTACAACCTGATGGCGGCCGGGGATTCAGAACTTCTGATATTTAGATGTGAATGATGATATATGGCATTAATCCGTACGGTTACACTGTTTTCTCTCCATTCATTGAGAGGCACATATAATGGCACTGGGCCAAAGAAAGGTCCAAATCAAAGGTTCTCTTTTGTCATTTTTCAGGGTTGAAATGTGTGAATTTGAGTCTGTTTTACTTAATCTTGTTTAAGGTGAAGGTCAAGCTTAAGCATGTGGATCTTATGGGCATAAATAATAAATGAAGAAAAGAAAGATGCAAAGGTGATCTACATGATTGATGAGTATATGCCTGCCGTCATAGCTTTACATGTATCCTTCATCATCGATGTGCTATGTCTTCAACTACACGTGTGGGGTGGGAGAGATGGGGGTAAGATTATGTGAAATGGAAGCAAATAGCTTGGCTTGGTTATAAAACAAGGCAACGAGCTAGCTCTGGCATATATTAAAAAATAAAATAAAATAAATATATTATAATTATTTTATTATTGTTTTGTTTTGTTTCTGGCAAGCCCTATGATTCATGATTACCTTGTGAGTGAAGGAAAAAAGAGGAAAAAGACAAGGCCATCGAGTCAAAGACAAGACGACCACCTATCCCTCTCCAAACCGTTTTCTACTGGACTCATCAACCAACCCTTTCTCTCTCACTCTTCCCTATTTTGTAAGCAAACCCACAACCATCGCCATCATCATCATTCCCACTCCATGAAGCTTCTTTCTAATCTAATCTTTCTCTCTCTCTCTATAAATCCTTCTCTTATCTGCATACATCACACTAGTTGGATTATAACGGCAAAGTGTTGTTTGTGTTGTGTGGTACAACGACAGCATGAGGAAGCCCGAGTCTGGAAAAAACAACACCAACAACAACAATAACAAGCTTAGGAAGGGGCTGTGGTCACCGGAAGAAGATGACAAGCTCATGAACTACATGCTAAGCAATGGACAAGGTTGTTGGAGTGATGTCGCCAGGAATGCTGGCTTGCAAAGATGTGGCAAAAGTTGTCGCCTTCGCTGGATCAATTACTTGAGGCCTGATCTTAAGCGCGGTGCTTTCTCTCCCCAGGAAGAAGAACTTATCATCCATCTTCATTCCCTTCTCGGCAACAGGTCCATCGATCTCCTTCTCTTTTTTCTTCTTCGGATTGTAATAAAACTTCTCTGGACATTTACTGCGGTTTTTTATTTGACAGACATATGATATATGCCCAGAAAGAAAACTCCTCATCAGATCCAATCATATGCATGTTTATTAAGAAAAGGAAAATCTAATGATAAATAAAACATTTCAAAATACCTGAATAATCTTGATGTTTATTTATATGTCTGCTTAATATTTATTCATACATTAAGAAGAATTCTCAAGAAAGAAAGTATCGTTATTAGTTGAGTACGTAATATGGGTATTTCTAATGTATGTGCGTGCGTGTGTGCCTCCGTTGTTTGAATTACAATGGCCATATCTGTCTGAATAGTCTGTGATGTTAATTAAGATATGATGATAAATGTTAATATCTTTGAAAAAACCTATTTTGAAGGGGTAGCTTTTCGTAAAAGGTTTTTGAAGGATAAAAGAAGTGAACTTTATGTTTTACTTTTAGATGCATACACAGATAATATATATATATATATATCAGCCATCACATACACGCTTTGCTTTTGCTCACCTAGCAATATGCCCATCATGTAGTTAGTATACCACTCACTGACTATCTAACAACAAAACAATTGAAAATGACAGAGATCTTTTGATGTCGAAGTATAGCTACCTCCCCAGTCAATATACATCCCACATGCATTGAACATAAGGATTATGAGGCGGCTCCTGTAGTAACACCAAACTTCAACTGAAAACAGTGGCCTGAGCATTTCATATATTTGTCTGCGTCTCCACTTCGGTCTTGTTGACGATACTCCACATAGTTGCATGTTTAAGAATTTTATTTAGCGTTCATGCAAAGCATTCCTTTAATACGTTCATATGTATAGATCGAAACAAACATTAATTTCGACATCACCACCTACCTTAATTTAATTTTTACTTCCGATGAAGCTGACTTTCTTCGTAAATGTTTTTTCCCTACTCTAAAGATGGTCCCAAATAGCGGCGCGCTTGCCCGGACGAACCGACAACGAAATCAAGAATTTCTGGAATTCCACAATAAAGAAAAGGCTCAAGCTCATGTCTTCCACCACCGCAACCTCACATAATGCAAGCGAGTCGTCTTCCTTGTTGTCTGAGCCTAATATTAAAGACCTCAACAATGTCATGGGAGGTTTCATGCCTATGTTCAACAACAACAACAACATAATTGAGAGGTTGCCCATGCTTGAGCGTGGACTAAACGCGCAGGCAGCTTCTGACGGATTCTTCAACACTAATGGAGGGCCTTGCTTCACACAAAATGGGGTTAGCCACAACATTAATAATGGTTTTTATGTAGAAAATGGAGTGTTTGGGATCGGGAGTGTAAATATTGGAGCAGAAGGGGAGCTGTTTGTGCCTCCTCTCGAGAGTGTTAACACTATAACTGATAATCTGCAGAAACTGGAGAATAGAGACACTAACGCTAATAGTTACTTTGACAACATAAACAGCATCGTCAATAACTGCAACATTAGCTGCAGCAACAATAATAGGGCTGAGAATAGAGGTGGCGTGGAGAATCTATTTCAGGAGGAGTTAACTTTGGGAGAGTGGGACTTAGAGGACTTGATGAAAGATGTCTCATCCTTTCCCTTACTTGATTTTTCAAGCTGATGATCAATAACTCCATATCCCTTAGAAGTTTGCTCGTCATTGGAACAACTTCAAAACTACCACCCCCTTAATCAGCATCTCATAGTGGCATGGACAGATCTCTCCTTAAACCTTGTAATGTTTGTGTTTTTGGCCAATGTCGTCATCAGGCTCAGATCAGATTCAAAGATTACTAGTTCGGTAGCTAGGTCTGAAATAAAGGTCGTATTATCATACCTGGGTATTTACGGTGATCATATTTGTGTATAATCATAGAGCATTTAATCCCAGGTAACGCTGTATCTCGGAATCCATCCAGTGTAGTTACAATAATCTGTCATATATACTTGTGAATACAAATAGTCATACATTATGTTTTTGGTCAGCTTAATTCTGTGATATATTATAACAGCGGACGGAAGTTGTATAAAACAATGTTGGGACATGTGTGTTACGTACATTGTTGGATGTGAAATTTTCTCTCTTCATCCGCCGAGCAAATTCAGTTGTCATTTAGCTTGTAATGGAGATAGGGATAGAGATTATTAACCATATATGAATTGTTAAACGCTGGTATCTGAAGTCGGAAGGCAATTAATGCAGGTTAGTGCTCATAATCATCGATTGATTACGTATAGTTTGGGGGCTTAATCATTCTGGTTTGTCCACTTGGGAGAAGAGAATTCAGTGAATCACGGTAATCGAATACCCAATTGGATTGCTTTGATGGAGTTGGGGATTTTTTTCTCATATTATATATTAGTTAGTTAAGCTCAGTGGTTGGGTCTTGTAGGAGTAATTATAACTTGATCTTTGATTTCAACTCGAGATAGCTGAATATAATGATCATATTGACGATTGATCAGTAGTGCAGCGAGAAATATGCCATAGTGTGTGGAATATTTATAAGAAGTGAATATAAAGCAACTTAATATGAAATGACAAGGTGGCCAACCAGTGTAATTAACGTGCAAGACTAATTAATCGATGGAGATAATAAGAAGAGGGAAATGATTTTTATGTATGAAATGGTGGCCGACTTGATATCATTTTCTCATAGACATTTTGAACGACCCATGCCATGAGTAACGTGTTGTTAATTGTTTTAAGGGTAAATTAATAAGTTAGTTTCTAAAAGATATTTAGTGATTGGGAGTCAATGACATCGCTGCGCTTGTGAATTATGCAAATTAAATATAATGGAGAATTTATAATTTAAATTAGAAAAAAAACTTGAGGTTTAATTTAATTGGAAAAGTCCTACTTTTGAGAAATTAAATTGAGAAGAGGATAATTGTTAGAAAATATACTAGAATTTAAAATTTGCATTTGTCATGACCAGATAGCTGTAGGGCTGTTTAGAATAGTTTATAAAGAACTTTTTATTATAATTTAAAAATATAAGATAAATATAAAAAAAATTTATCTCAATTTATATAAAATATGTTTATAAATAATTTCAATGATAATGGGAAATAAAGCAGTAAGAGGGAAGGAGGCGAGGAGCGAAGTAAAAGTAACGTGGAGATAGAATAATTCAGCTGTTGTTAGCAAAGTCCGAGAATTGTACGTCCCAGGCTGTGGCTGTCAGCGTTGGCAGGAGACGTCGGTGTGGGCGTCAAATCGTTAAAAAGACGGTGTGATAAGAAGCAAAAAAACAAAGTCGTCGCCTGAGAGATTCGAACTCTCGCGGGGAAACCCCATGTACTTAGCAGGCACACGCCTTAACCACTCGGCCAAAGCGACGTGATGCGAAGTTCCTGGGTATAAATCTTATCAATATAACATCATCTCTCATCAGTCACTTTCACTATAACCGCACAACAAAGCTACCAGGGCTCAGGTGAGATGATCCTGAAAGATATCGTGACCTGATTTCATGGCTCAAAGGAGGATAAATAAACGTCCATCACTTTTAAATTGCAAAGTACTCGTAATATGATAGGAGTGCTTTGACTTTTTCTATCTAATTTGAAGGCGCACAAACATTCTTTCCCCTAATTATGTAAATCATAAACGCATTGAAAATCAAGCAGAAATTCTATCCCTTGTTTTTTTTGGCCTTTTTCCAGCGCACCAAACCTTGGAAGATATTTTTTCCCCTTATCTTCGTTTCTTTTACCTTCTAGGCCTCCACCAAACCCCAACCTCCAGATTGAAAACGTCGAATTATCATAGTGCTGTACATGTTCAAGGTGAGCATTAAATATCTGGAATGACATGCGTGTTACTTTTTTTCTTTCCCCGAGAATATTACATTTGCTCATTTAAGTTGCTAGTCCAAAACGAATATGCTAATTTAAATGGAGAAAATATTGCACACGGGCGATATACTCCGCGATATACATAGAACTATAAATTTTTCCTTATGATGTACGATGTACGGACTAGAATATTTGATTAGATTTCAAAATTTTAATCAATATTTACTTCTTATAAGAGTATGATTGTTTATTTATTCAAATCAGATTTGAACTAGATATACGGAATTTACAAAAAATATATATATAAATTTAAATTTGTTTATTTAAACCTTTAATTGACATACTATTTAATTATGATACTTTCTATTTACTTCAATATATCCAAATATTAATTAAGACGTTACTTACATTCAAAATTAATTATTAGTTTCTTCATTTTAGCTTCCAATTGGAATTGTATTTAATAACGATGTTTCTCATTTAATTCAATATACCTAAATTCCAATATAAGTATTATTCAGATCTCATTAATTAAATATATTTAGATCTTATAACATCATACTTGACCCGTTTCTAAACGAACTGGGTATTACAAGCTTTCAAGAATATAACTCATGATTAATTGATTGATATCATATTATCTACATAATTTTTTTTTTAATTGTAGGAAAATGGGTCAGTCCATCCTTAATGGATTGGGCCCAAGCCCAGTAATCTTGGAACTCCCGTATAAATAGCATAACATGCAGGTCATTAAGGATAGGAAGAGACGGATATTCGTACGTTCTTTATGGGGATCAGATTTTCCTCTCCAAAACTAATCGATCAAGAACGTCCACTCCCCCTCTCTTTGTTTTTCCCTTCCTTCCGGTGCATTTTGTGTAACACCGATCCGATTTGTCATCATAACTGAATCTCCGCGTGACTATATGAAAACGTGGAACACTCTAGGTATCCCCGAAATCCATTATTAGTTGTTCATAAAATACTTAAAAGACGCAATCATCAGTGAATATTCGATGCGACTGCGTGGAATGTGGATGGTTGCTTGGGATCTGGGTGATTTTATATTTTCCTATTTTGCTAGCTGACCACTTGACCTCAGTCTCCGCGTCATTTTTTCTATTTGGTGTGATTAATGTTATAATTTTGATTATGGTAACTCATTTTTTTATATATACATGCCTCTCAAACTTTTTGAATAAAGCATACTTAATTAACTGCATCTTGAAAATTTTAAAATCCATTGCATGTGATGCTGTGTCATCCTTCATGCGTCCCTATTTACCTGTCCTCATAGAAGCATATAAAAAGCAAAATATATGTATTATTTAATAATTACTTTTTATTTTTTAGTCTTAACTTTATTTAGTGCCACGTTATTTAAAATCTTAAGTGTCTCCAACAAGGGTATTATTATTGAAATGATAACTAATAATTATTATACGTTGAAATTTGGAAAATAACCTATATTAAGGGACAAAATTAAAATATAAATCAGAGTAAGTAAACAGAGCTGATGGAAGTACCTGATGCACACAAAAAGTATTTGTGAATCACATGTTTAAATTCATCACACCACATTATTCAAATTGGCGAAAAATATCTATGCTCGAGGCCACCCAAAAACAAGACTACTTGGAACTTCATGGACCTTTGACCCCACCAAAAAGAAAAAGAAAAAGGCACGTATCTAATTTTAATTTTTGTTACACGGTATGCTCACGAGATACTGAATAAATTATGTGGGCCTGGAGCCCGTTCATAGGACCTGGGCCCTAATGTCCATTCCCAGATGTGATGTTGTGGCATCAGCTCTTATTCCTTAATGTCCGTAACAACCCAAAAAAAAAAAACACACACACACACACACAAGTTCGACGGGGAGCGTTGTTTTCGCAACGCATGCACCGAAGCTGGTAGAGCCATGATTTTCATGTTCAGGCTTCAGCGCATAATTTTGATGGGCAAGTGGCAACGTGGTTTTCAGCTTCCACACAACACAGACAAACAAAGTGACAGAAGAGGGACCTGAACATTGTTCATATTTTTAATATAAGAGTTACTTAATTAATTAAAATAAATTAAGAAAATTAGATAATTTATTTACTTCTAAAAAATGTGACTTATTTGTCCGAAATGTCCCTATATAACATTAATATGTATACACATATCATTTTATAAGTTGAATAAATTAGTTTATGAGAGTGATAGATATAAGGGATAAAATGAATTAAATTCTTATATTTAGAAATTAAGACCAACATCAATTATGTAAGATAAATTGGCTTGTCAGAAATGATAGATATAAAAGATAAAATTAATTAAATTCTTAAACTTAGAAATTAAAACCAACATCAATTATGTAACTAGCTTGTATGTTTAGAATGAGAGAAATAATAATTTTGTCTCAATGACCTCTAGAATTTAAAAAAGGTCCACTCTTCTGTAAATCGAGTGTTGCTCCTTTTCCCCCATTTCCAAGTAGGAATTCAAACCCCAGTTTACTATATTATATAGAACTAACTCTTTTCACTATATTTAATTTTCTATTAGAGGTGATCATATTTGAGATACTGTGAGACATTAAATATGAGTAACTCTCTCAGTGGGAATTCAAATCTTTGTTTGTTATTTCATAAAAAACTAATTTTTATGTTAGACTCAATTTTTGGTGGCTGGTTATTGGTTTTGTTATTCTTTTGTAAAGCAACTAAAGTGCTGTACTTGTAATTCCCTTCGAGCAATGGATTTCCTTTCTATTTCCCCCGGGGGGGGGGGAGCCCACGAGAAGTTGGAGGAATTGTGCTTCAGAATATAAATCGGATGCCCCGAGGGACGAGTTTCAGAATACTTGAGATCCGATTTGGGCGGCCGTTTTGCATTATAAAATTGCCCAGCCCATTGACATCTGGTTTCGATTGGCTTGGCGTGGCCATGGGTGTCATTTTGTCCCATTAAAAATCTTCGAGGTGCGCGCATATAGTTTTTTTTTTAACATTCTTCAATCCTGTTTGAACTTGAATTGAAAACAATTCTGTTCAAGGTACTACTAAATAATGTAATTATAGATACATCCTCTAATAAAAATCTACATATGGTTTATCATGTTATGGGCTCTATTAGTAGGTACAAGCATATGTATGAGTATATGATATCACCGGCCCATAGTTGAGAGAACAGACCTTTTTGGGGTTTTTGCCCAAGAACCTTGTCTCTACTCTTAGATAAAAGATAAACATTTATCATGCTGTTTTCTTGTTTTACTGATATTGGCCAGTCTTTTTCTTCAGTTTATTTAGATTTTGCTTAAATTAACCATATGTCATGGGTTGGCTTTTTATGTGTAATTTTTTTATTTAGTTTGAATAAATTCTTCTTTAAATTAAAAAAATAAGCATTTAATTTTTTTATAAATTAATTTTTTTGGTGAGGAAATTAAATTTATTTATTTATTCTGCAGCTTAATTTTATGTATTTACTTTAGAAATAATACACCTTCCCAAATTAAAATCAGAGCGGACTGCGGAGACAACCTCATGCGAAGTTCATGCACGTCACGTGACGCCCGAGCTCCCCAGGAGCTGTTGCGGCCGTTTTGACTTCGGTGTTTGACAAGTGCAAATGTCGAGCTCCCTCGCCCCAACCTCAACATGAGCGAGCGAAATCACCTGCCCCGGGGCGAACGACCCCGGTAGAGACCCTCCACTCATCTGTCACCACGTAACAGTATCCAAGTGGGCCAGCGGCTCCCCCCAACAGCATCAATTCTCCTCTCTGTCGCTATCTTCTTTTTTGGACGGACATCTCAAGTCTCAACCCTCAAGACGACGTTTCCAAAGCGAACAGACGATGATCCACACCCTCCACCGTCCCCTCTCCATCCAACGCTCCATGATCTCCCCTGCATTTCTTACAAATTTCCCACTCTGTTCCTTTCCTTCACCCCTTCCGCCCCCGGTGCTGCGAGGTGCTGCTCTGTTTCCCGCTGCACCAGATCCGATTCCTCCAACTCATGGCCTCTGTAGCCCTCACCACTGCCACCGGCACCACCTCCTTCCCCGCCCTTCCATCTCTCCGATTGCGATCCCCTAACCCCATTCCTTCGAGAACTTCGCGGCTATGCTGTTCGGCTTCAGGTTCCCTGCACTCTTTCAATTTCAAAGGACTCAAACAGAACTCTTTTTCATCTATTCCACCCCCGAGACTCTCTAAGTCTGGTTTCAATGTCAAACCCCATTGGAAATACCCTTCTGTTAAAGCCTCCGCTTCGGGCGCTTCTCTCGCTTCGTCTCCACCTCCGGCTCCGACGCCTCAGCCGTGGCGCGGCGCGGCCATCAAGCCTTTATTAGCCTCTATAGCGACTGGGGTTCTCATCTGGTTCGCTCCCGTGCCTGCTGGAGTCTCAAAAAACGCGTGGCAACTGTTGGCTATATTCTTGGGCACCATCGTTGGCATTATTTCTCAGCCATTGCCGCTGGGAGCTGTGGCTATACTGGGTTTGGGCGTTTCTGTGCTGACTAAAACCCTGACGTTTGCTGCAGCATTTTCAGGGTTTGGTGATCCCATCCCGTGGCTCATTTGCCTGGCCTTCTTCTTTGCCAGAGGGTTCATTAAGACAGGTCTTGGCAACCGGATCGCCTATCAATTTGTATCTCTTTTTGGTAGCTCATCCTTAGGGCTAGGATATAGTTTAGTTTTTAGCGAGGCCTTGTTGGCACCGGCGATTCCTTCGGTTTCGGCTAGAGCAGGTGGAATATTTCTCCCGTTGGTGAAGTCCCTATGTGTCGCTTGTGGTAGTAACGCGGGCGATGGAACTGAAGATAGACTTGGGTCTTGGCTAATGCTGACGTGCTTTCAGACTTCGGTGATTTCATCGGCAATGTTCTTGACAGCAATGGCAGCAAATCCCCTGTGCGCCACTCTGACTGCCAATTCTATTAACCAGACAATTGGGTGGTTGGACTGGGCGAAAGCTGCGATTGTCCCCGGTTTGGTGTCATTGGTACTGGTACCATTGATTTTATATGTGATTTACCCACCAACAGTAAAGGCCAGCCCAGATGCGCCCAAGCTTGCTCGGGAGAAGTTGCAGCAGATGGGACCAATGACTACTGAAGAGAAGACAATGGCTATCACTCTGTTTCTTACGGTACACAGATTTCGATCTTATTCTTTTTCAAATGCCGGAATGACTTTTCCTTTATGCTATGTTCGTACTTTTTACCTAGAAGCTAATAATGTTATTATAATGGATAGCAGCGATGCCTATTTAGAGGAATGAGTCAGGTTCACTATCTCCCTTTTGAATTACGAGCCGTGATTATGCATTAATCTGATTATATAAGACGCTTCTTTAAAATGATGCCAGAGGTTTGGGTGATAATTGAACATTGTAAAGGTAGTCCGTTTATGGGCTTAATGCATGTATGATTGCACAATTTGTTATGCTAGACTGATCATAAGCATGATGTGCCTTTGTGGGTTTGCTTTTCAGTAATGTTACTGAGCAAGTTATCAGGCATCAGTTATTAAAAGTCATGTCGTCTTGAATTTTACGCTAAATTATTATTATTTGGAATGTTTGGTTGTTGTGCGGAAACAAATCACTGAGCAGCTGTATTACTCTAGTGTCTATGCCTTGCCCCTTGGATGATAAATATGTGGTATTTTACATTCCTAATAATCTTCTATTTGTCTTAGTAACTTATTTCTTCTCGGGCTCTGTTGTATCAGGTGGGGCTTTGGATTTTTGGAGCGGCTCTCAAAGTAGATGCTGTGTCTGCTGCCATTCTTGGATTATCTGTACTTCTTGTTACGGGTGTTGTTACATGGAAAGAGTGTTTGGCTGAGGGTGTTGCTTGGGATACCCTCACGTGGTTTGCTGCCCTCATAGCAATGGCTGGGTATCTGAACAAATATGGGCTTATTTCCTGGTTCAGTCAAACTGTAGTCAAGGTTTTCTTCTGTCTCCTCTCTTGCATATCAACTCTGGATGATGAACATAGAGAACATGGTGCCTGTCCTTGGCATTTTATTTTTCAAAAAACAATTATGACATCTCTTGGACAATTAATAAATAATTCATGGCTTAAGCTTTTGTGATTTAAATTATAACTATTTATGAACAAAGGTATGCTGGATCTGTGTCTCGTCTACGACTCATGCTTTCATATGAGGCATTGTGTTAGAGATGTCAGTTATCACCTCAGAGGCCAAGGTCCTGCGATAAAATGTTTTTTGCCAATCTTCTATGCCTTGAGTCTGGTTTGTGCAAGATTTTTCTGTTTACTTCTAATTTGCTATTCAAATTAGATATAGTAACCCTTTTTATGTTCTGCAGAAGCTAATTTAACCTTCCACTTTCTAACAAGTGCATTATCTGTTATAAATTGTTCCCTCCGCTTGTTAATGTAATTCATGCAATAGAGACTCCATAATGCATCTTATTTTTATTTCTCTGCAGCAGAAATGAAAAGTCTTTCTAACATGCGTCTGTCGACATTTCTGGAGATCCATATTGGTCCACTCCAAGTTCAATAGTTTTTTTTTTTTTTTTGTGGGGGGGGGGGGTAGGAGTGTAGATCCCATGCAATGCAGCCACTGTTCTTTTTTTAACTTCCTGCATTGCACGAGTTGCGGCAATACAGGGGATTTGTTTGATAGTTCAACTCACTGAAAGCTTTCGGGGAAGAGTGCTTGTACCAACAATCCCACAAAAAACCGCATCGGATTTTTGACAGTACGTGAAATCAGCGGCCTGTGCAGGTGATCCAATGGACCCTGCACAAGGTTGATGTTTTATGTAATTAAAATGGGACGTGCTTGTAGCCTTTATCATAAGCTGTAGTTGCGCTTGATAATAGCACACGAATATATTACTTTAATCCAGTATTCCTGTTTTTGCATGGCAATTATTTGACATTTGCTTTCTAATTATTGACATGCATCGTGACCCTTGCATCTGAAGTTCCAGTGAAAATGGGGCGTGCAGCATGGACTGTATGCCTATAAAAATATGAATTTTACTTTGGAAGTCAGTATATTCCTTGATTATGTTCTAGAAATGATTGACTAGTGGCATTGTTTATGCAGTTTGTTGGTGGATTGGGTCTCTCTTGGCAGCTATCATTTGGCATTCTGGTTCTTTTGTACTTCTACTCACATTACTTCTTTGCAAGTGGAGCAGCCCATATTGGTGCCATGTTTACAGCCTTCTTGTCAGTTGCTTCTGCTCTGGGCACTCCACCATACTTCGGAGCCATGGTGCTGTCTTTCCTATCCAACCTCATGGGTGGCCTCACACACTATGGGATTGGGTCAGCACCTGTATTTTTTGGAGCCAATTATGTTCCTCTTGCCAAATGGTGGGGTTATGGTTTCCTTATGAGTATTGTTAACATTATTATCTGGCTTGGGGTTTGGAGGAGTTTGGTGGAAGGCCATTGGTTTATGGTAAAGGGCTGTTTGATGACCCAAATTTTCTAGTTTACAATTTCTGTACACATTGAGGTGCATTCTCTTGTTGCCGTTAACAGCTGAAGCAAGCTGTTAACCTTCACGATTCTTTTTAGAAATAATCTTCAGGTGATTCTGATGGAGATTTAGGTTGGGAATTAGAATACAATTACTCAATTTAGATCTGGAAGTAGAACTTACATATATAAAGTTTATTTTGGAACGTAAGAGGAGCCTGCTGTTCAGTCGGTATTCGTGATAGGGTTTTGGGCTTGATTACATTCTTGTTGTGCTCTTGAATCTATTTGGCATTTGTCGTGAATAATCAAAATCAACCAAGGACATTTGTGTGCTGGTATTTCCATCAAGTGGATTCCCGGCACTTTTTGGAGCAGGGAAATAAATGAGCTTACTATTCGTAACGAGATATGCACTGATGATAGTTTGCCTGAAATAAGCGTGTCCTTCTGCACAACTTACGTATTAATTATTTTTTCAAATCGTATATACCTAGCACGTATTACTTATTGCAAATATATTTACATCAAGAGGGTTGCCTCTGTGCAAAAGAATAAATTATCTGTAATCTATAATAGGCCAAATCTAAAAAATTGTTAAATCTTTTGCCTATGACCTCCGTATATATCTGCCTCTATCAACAAAAAATTTCATTTAACTTGCATATTATTTACAAATTTATAAAAGATTTGAGTACGGTATGGGAGTACTTGGCTGAAAGACCAAAGATTTCTTAACTTGCCAAATAGCATAATTTATGATTCGAAACAGCATAATATCATTACGTAATATTAACTAAGAAAATCAATTCAAAATTTTAAGTGAAATGAAAGAATTGAAATCATAGCCTCAAGAAGTCACAAAAAAAACAAACTATCATATGAAAGGTATATGAATAAAAGTACTATTACAAATTAACAAGAGAAGTGTGTGTATACGTAATATGCATGAGGCCAGGCTGACCCTAGCCTGGTGCCTGGCTCAAAACCCAACCTGTGTGACCTGAAAGTGGATGGCTTAGGTAGGATCAAGTTGACTGAGCCGTCGATCCGCTTGGATGGTTTGTGTGTGTCTTTATATTAAAAAACAGAATATAAGTTGTGATTAATATGGTGAATGAATGATACCTTTCATGCAGATTCTTTGTGGGTTGGTCTGTAAATGGACCCTCGTGGAGATCTAAAATATCTGTTATAAAATGACCAGCGTCCCAATCAGTTATATAGTTCTATGCATATGATCAGGCCCCCTACCAGGAGAAGAATTGGAATAACATCACATTATCATGTAAAATACATGAGTTTACCTATTGGCCTGAGGCGTTTTTTTCCCAGCTTAGCCTGCAGCTCATAAACGCAGTCGTTAAAGGTGACACTTAGTGGGCTAGAAAAATTATAAAGCATGCGGGAACCTGAACATGATAAATCCGAATAACATTAAAGTAGAAAACAGACACTTTTGTAATTCGTCACACAATTGGTTGATTTGATTCACTTATTATTTAATTAACGAATACAGCTCGCGCGTGCGCTGTATCCGTCAAAAACAAGCAATTTCCACTATACGCGTGTCATTCCGACGAGCGGGGCGATGCGTGTGGGATCCACCACCTGTGCCTTTAAGGACCCTCGCGATGCTGACTCATTCAAACTGGCTTTGCTTTCTGCCACTAATTTTGTTTATAACTCGGCAGGCACTCTCCCCAACTTGTGTTGGTGGCTTGTCAATCATCAAACCCCTTCTATTTCCCCCACCTCCAGCTTTAGCCTTTTGATTTTTATATTTTAAGTCGAACTTGACATATTCATTATTTTTCTAATTAATCATATCGTCGTGGAATAATGTATATAATACATCTGAAGAGATACGTGCTTATTAAAGAGATCCAATATTCCTTCTAAATTTGCACGGACTTGCTGGAGGCCTGCACCAAGTTTTAACCACCACCTTTTGTGTGATGAGGTTTAAAGATTAAGAATCAGTGATCTGGGCTAGCCATGGCTTTTTGCCTGCCCACCACACAATATATTACTACATTCAGTTTTTAATATATAAAAATTATTTGATTAATTTGAATAGATAACAAAAATTAGTTAAGTTAGATATTTGTAATAATAAGTATTGTCTTTCCTAAATTATCCCTACTAATCAGGTATATTATTAGTTAGAATTATCATTATTACAAATACTATATTGAGAAAAAATGAATAAATAAAAGATAAAATTGATTGAAGTATTTTATTTAAAACCAAAATAAAAGTGAAACGAGTTCTTATATTAAGAATCGAAGTAGTAGTATATTGTTTTTTTTTCCCAACTATATTACTAGCATTAATTATGGGCGCATCTTGAAGCAAAAAAAAAAAAAAGTTTTTTGAGGGGCGGGCGTCGATCCATCCATTGTGGGGGGGTGAGAACATCCGGTGCAGTGCATGTTTGGTTGCTCCTTAGGGAAAAAGTAGGGTGAAAAAAAAAATCAATTTAAAAATTCAGCCATGCAAAAGCAGTCTTCTGCTTGCTTCGTGAAAACCGAGAAAACAAGCATCCAATTAAAAATTAGGTTTGGATCTCTAAAATGTTTATCCAAGCGTAGATTTAAAAGTCGTTGTTAAAAACCCGGGGGTGTGGTTGAGCGGTGGGGGCTCATCCTCCCTTAACCAAGTGTCGAGGGTTCGATCCTCGTCTTGGACATGGAAAAGCTTTAAAATTCCGGGCCAGCTGTCCCCCCATCGAGGTGCCTACAAGCCAGCGAAGGGATTAGTCACTGGATTCGCTGGTGGATACCCTGATGTTTCATAAAAAAAAAAAAAGTCGTTGTTAAAGCTAGCTTTAAAAAATTTTTTTAAACACAAAAGAAAAGAGAAAAATATAAATAAAGACCCCCTAATATATAAAATTATGATTTGAGACTCTCAATCTAGAAAATACTCCTCCGGTCCTTAATATAAGACCCATTTAACTAATTTGATTAGATTAAGGAAGTTAGGTAAGTTAGT